TGACCGCAACAGGTAGGTGTAAAGCAAAGCCATTCATGCAGTCAATGACCTGAGCCCGGTGCAAAAACGCATGATCGCACGGGCCCGCCCGGTGCGTTCCAGCTTGGGTTATATTTTACTGTAATGATGCTTAACTTTTTTCCTGCTTAGCTGCAAACATAATCAACTATGTTTATTGTATGTAGCTACAGCAAAGTCCAACACGAATAGTCCAAGCACTGTTGAGAATTTAAAAGTTATACATTTTTAGACATTATTATCAGTTTTCTGAAAGCTCTTACATATGATAGAAGCATTTCGTTGGTCGTTTTATATTTGATTTTGCTTGTTTCTAACCTCAGTATTCGAGCATCTGCTAAAATAAAAACCAAAGAATTAAAACTTAACTGTAGAACAATCTTCGCTGGAACTCGAACTCAAAATCAAAAAGTTTGGCTACGAGTGTGGACACCGGACAATGTTGAATTTCTAAACTTCTCTAAATATCTGGTGTGCGCAGCTATTTCTTTCTTGTTGGGAAATATTAGTTTCGTTTATTGCTAGTGAGCGATTCTGCAACAAAAGGATGCTGTCTCTCATGGCAATTTAGCAGACTCAGTTTTCCGGAAAATTTTGCGTAAATAATCAGCGAGCGGGACGACCGGAAGACTCACGACGTTGTGGACGTACAATGTCGCGTAACTATATGTCACGTAGCGCTGCTGGCACAACTTCACTTTTAGAAAAACCTGTGCAAGGTTCGAGCTGGTATTTTCTTCAGGAGACTATATGGCCATTATCGTTAGAACATGCGGTAAAGAGTTGAAAAATATGCTGCTTGCATATATTCTGGTTGCGTTACTAACATCGGATTCTTATACTGAGGTCTCGACAATCTTCGCAGTTTTTAATCCACAAAGGCAAATACGTAATTTCGGTATTGACAATTTAAGCATGGTTTTTGTTCAAAACTTCCGCAACAAATTGCTTTATTTATCGATTAAAAAAAAGATAGTAATAAACGATTAACACGCAGAGTAAGAAATGCATTCAAGTATTGTTATTAGAAAATATTTCGATCTGGCTTGAGCACGAATGCATGCATATACAGATCTCCAATTCATTATTGTTTACAATATGTCTTGTACAGCTGTTAAGGCAGCTTGACAACAGCAACGTTGCCATTATTTCCGGAAGGGAAACAGTTTTTAACGTCGCTTGGAAAAATTTTTTACGGTGCATTTTTGTTTTATGAAATTTTTGCACCATTTATCATCAGGCAAATGTTAAGCAGTGAACTACTGCAACAATAATGGATTTTTTCGTGAAAAAACGTAATGGTTTTTTTGGGGAAAAGTGAACATGATTTCCCCTATTTTTTGGCCACTCTAAAAAATATTTAGCTTTGCCCCTTTATCAACTTGTTGTTTCAAAAGTAGCCCAATGTCGTGATTTGTCAGTTGCAGATCACATACTGATGAATGCGAAAATAGAGAGAAGATCGAAAGGAGTTAATCGCTGCAAAATCATTCGAGCAGTCACGGAGATGATTGCAGTTGAAGTATCATTTGCTGCCTTGCTCAGCACTGCTTACTGCTTGAATTTGACATCCTCACTGTAAGCAGTGGGAGCGTCAATCCAGGCCGAGCAACAATTTAGTTTACTTAATAGTAATCGCTGTCCGCTACACCTCGGTTGAAGTCGAACTCTTTGTAAATATCTTCTAGTCTCCTTTCCAGACTTTCTTCGTTATCTATTTGGTCCACTTTTGCTTTGGTGCAGCCAAGTAGCTGAAACCTTATGAATGTTTAGGTCCTTTGGATATGATGTCATAGAAATGAGCTGTTTTCTCACTCCCTCAAAATATGAAATGCGAGGGAAGAGATGCTGAGTTTAAATAAGTGCCGATTTACGCAATTGTTTTTTACATTGTGAAAAGTCCCAAGCCACCGGTATTTGCTACTATTCTGTTTTACTTGAATTTGACACGTTGAACATTGTTGAAGTAGCAAGAAACAGGCTTTTTTCTATTTATTTCAAGAAAAAATGGAAGAAAATGCAGATAAGGCCAACCTCATTGATAGTATGTACATCTGGAAGTACAACATAGCATCGCGCAAAAAATTCTTTAAATAATTCCTTAATCTGAAACTTTTTTAAAAGAGTCACTTAGTTTTCTGAGAAATTTTTATAATTCTCTTACACTTTATGTCGCTGGAGAAATTTCCCTAAATCGATTGGTATCTTATTTTGATCTAGGAATGGTAATTTTCAAGATGATTTGGTAATGTTCAGCACGGAACATCGACATCTCAAAAAAATACTCTTGCCAAAAATACTTTTGCCAAAAATACTCTTACTCTTGCCTGAGGAATCACTGCCTGAGGAAAATACTCTTGCCTGAGGAATCACTGAGATTTTCTAAAGACAAAACGTCAGGATCGGCAGTAGACGCTTCAACACTAAGCAAAGCAACTGAATTTGTCAGCTGCATAACTGGCTAACCAGCTGGGAAAGATAGCTGGCCAAAGAACTGAAGTATTTAAAGATGAAGTTATCTGCCTCGAACATCATTTGTAGCCCATTTATTCTTTACTCACAGCACGCAGTTGATGTTTGCTATATTCATTATGATTTTGCCTTTTTCTTGGGATCACACCGATTTTGTTGTAAAAAAAAATGATATATTGGGAATTTTCAATATAGCATATTGAATTAAGTGGATGAGATACTCAAAATAAAGAAGAATGGAGAAGTTATTAGCTGCATCAGTGACGAAAAGAAAAGTTGAGTCAAAGCAGCAGCTGATCTTACTATCCATGTTAAGTAATCGAAAGCTAATTAGTAAAAACTTTCTGATTTGAGGTTAGTGCGTACATTTAGGCTGGACAGACATCAGCTGTCAGTTTCTTTCCAGCCTTTTGCTGTGCTGATGCTAGTGGTGCTGTTATTCTGTGATTTTAAGTCTGTTTCCTCGTTACGGTTTCTGCAGCGTCTCGGCCGTTTCAGACAAAATGTTCACAGCGAAAAAGTGATTTACACAGCAGGAATGGTAAACAGTTCACTGCTGACGATCAGTATAATAAATAGCAAGTTATCAGAAAAGTCTTCTGTTAGCACTTCCCAGACTCCTTAATCCTGTGATAACTTGCAATTCAAAGTTGCTTCAGCAGCTACGCTGCTCATAAATTTATCTATTTTTTTGAGCAGTGCTGCACTGCACTTTATTCTAGCTGCTGGCGGTCGTGTTTCTTGTTTCATCAGTTCTCGACTGAAACGTAGCAACGCTTTAACCGTTTTGAGATGGTATTAGTTCTGCTCGACCTACACACGTCAGTAAGGCAATAGGACAGATGTCTTTCTCGATAAGAACTTTTTACTTATCATTTTCCTCGTTTCTTTCAGGAAGCAAGTACCATTTGGAACATCAAGGTAATATGTTGTGCACTTACTTCTTCATATTTTTGTTCGTATCCCAGAACAGGTCTGTGCAAAAGATTTACTACGGCAACACCTAAATTGATTATTATTAAGATAGTGAGAGAAAAAGATTTAATTTTGCAGCACTGATTTATTCAAGAGCGGTAGCGTCTGCAACTTAGCTATCTTTGCTGCCACGTAGCAGAAATCGCGCTACCAAATAGCAGAAATCGCGCAAACAAATAGCAAAAAAAATAATGACTGAAGAAGCCAAATTTCTGAGCGCTGATTTTAACTGAGAAAACAAATTCGTAAGGAGAGAATAAGCTAAGATAATAAAAAAAATGTGAAAATAATAAAGCTACGCATTTTTCACTACTGCTGCTGGAACACTTACATTTAAAAATCTGTATGAAGCAGCAAGGTAATCGCCATAATGCGAGATATTTTTTCAATTATAATCAACCAATATTACTGTGATTTTTTCACTGATCTATTAACTGCAGGAAAATATATATACATAAATTCAACCTGTCTGACGTATTGCTCGATGTAGATGAAAGATCACGTCCCTCTCTAGAAAAGCGCTCCCTGGACATAATTGAATTGCAGTAGGCTCGCACGCATCCAAAAAAATTACGTCGTACCTTGCTAAAAAAGTGCAGTGGAAAATGAAGCAGTCAACAGACGCTACTTTCACGATAGTGCTAAGTTATCACTTTCTTCCTCCTATTTTTATTCTCGCAAAATTATTTTTCTACAGTTTTTACCTCCTTTTCTTCGCCCACTGTGCTACTACAAGCAAGGGCCCTAACAGAGGCCGGAGGAGTGGAAAGCCACAAAAGCGACGGAAAAAGACGATTTTATACACATTTCTTCTCAGCACCATAACAGCAAAACCATGTCATACACAAACATATGTGTATATATGTAAAGATTTGAAGTAAGAAAATCTTTTAAAGTAAGAAATTTTTTAAAGGTGAGAATTTTAATAAAGATTGTTTGGAAAAATAGCAAATATAATAAATATAAAAACATGCCGATAATGAATTGGTCTTAGGCAAAGAAATAAAAAAGCAGTAAAGACGAATATGATGTGGAAAGTGGAAAAGTGGGATCGTCAACAGCAGATCAGGCAGACAATGATCAAGTCTTTTCTTGAGAATGGAGATACAGGCAATAATTTTTTTCAATTTCACTGTAAAGTGTTCTTGATGTCATGGATGAATCTCTCACTCACTAGGATTCACAGGCGTTCGGCTTTATCACGTAGAGAGCATTTGAGTGTGTCTATTCGGCTGGAAAAAGAAACTTACGTGATTTGATATTTTTGATGAACTGGACTCCATCAGTGAGCACCACTTTTTGATTTTCATCCTCAAGCAGTCCGAAATATTCCCTTGAAAGATGCAGGAATTTCTCTTCCCGTTCAACAACTGTCATTCGAACCTTAAAACTCTTTTCGCATGCAGCATCTCCTCATGCACGAGTTGCAGATTTGTAATGAAATGGTGAGAAGAGAATGGTTGTTAAGAGAAAGTGAACCTGAGTAAAAAGTTTGCTTTTAGTCTTGGCTCGAGGTCATGAGGACGGACAAAGAATCGACAACGGAAAAAAGCTTAACATAACGATGAATGGCGATAGCACCAGACTAAAAGTCAGTACTTTGATTCAAAAGGCAAAAATGAAGCCCTGAAGAATTTGTCGAATCATTTCAATGGTGAACTGGTACTGCTGCTCGCAGAGAAATTCATCCGTCACTAGCTTATTTGTAAGCAACTTTAAAAGTATGAGCTTTCGGTGCACTTGTTGTTAGCGCCTGCTACCACTACTTGAGCTGTTTTCCAACGCTCCACGTTGCAGAGCAGATAAAATATGAATAGACATTTTTAATTTCGATAATGAACACACATATCAATTGCGGTATAAGCATTAGATTTTTGCCTTTACAAATACCTTTGATAAAACAATCAACTAGCGGTACCGTTTTTCGTTCAACAACTGGTCGCCGACCACCACAAAACTCAAAGTAAATTTCCACTTCACATCACCAGTGATAATACATCCATTCCCTTCATTTAAGCTGTTCCGAAGCTTCATAAAACCCCTTACGGATATAGATTCATAGCGACGGCAAACAAATCATCCTTCCGAAGCCTCCCTATTACTATGCAACGCCTCTTAGTTCGCTTTAGTCCTCATTTCCGTAATTATTGTCAAAAAACTACACGTAACTGACGGCCCGTTCACTTCAGCTTCACCAATTCACTAACAGTAATGCAAAAGCTTACTACACTAGGCAGTACAATCGAACATTTATACACCGCAGACTTTAGCAATCTTTTCACCAGTCTACCACATTCTCAAATTACTGACAACCTGTTCTACCTTATTGAC